AAAAATCAATGGAAAAAATATCCTCGGGTCAGGATTAACAAAAACAAACAAAAAAAGAGCACAAGGTTGTGAACCAGAAGCAGGAAGTCGAGCTCCCCAAGGGGTTCTTGTGGGTGACTTATATAGGGGCCTTGGGCAGATGTAGGGAATGAAGGTGAGGTCCCTTGTCCCACAGTCCTCTTTGGGCAGTGGCCGATCCTGGGGTAGTCATAGGGTCTGTAAAATAATGCTCGCGCACATATCCTGGTTACCATTAAATGGACAAAACAACTCTTTAGGAGAACATGTTTCTGATTCTTTCCTTTAAGGATGTGCTTAGGTTCATTAAACTGCGGAATTTTACTGAAAGCATGGAGTCACAGTCAGGCCTGTAAGACAGAGTTCTTTTGGACATGGCAGAGTCCAGTGTGAGCCCTGTGCTGTCTCAGGTGCAACACTCTTAAGACCAGTCAGCAGAGAGTAACATTTAGGCTTCACAGGCCAAAGGGTCTCTGTCACAGCTTTTATTTGGGATTTGGCTTGCTGACCATGGTTTGCCAACCCTTGCTCCTTAGGAGCAGAGCCACTGGTTGGTATAAGAACCACTACAGCCCTGGCTGGGTGTCTCAGTTGGTTGGAATGTCCTCCTGTACACCAAAAGTTTGCTGGTTTGATTCTGGGTCAGGGCATGTGCTCCGGTTGAGGGTTCGATCCCCAGTAGGGGACATGCAGGAGGCAGCCAATCAATGACTCTCTCATCATTGATGTTTCTCTCTCTCTCTCTCTCTACCTCTCCCTTCCTTTCTCTGAAAATCAGTAAACATATATTTAAAAAAAAATTTTTTTTAAACAAAAAATATTTGGACTTCTCAGGCCTCTAAGGACCTGCCTCTGTCAGACTCAGGGCCCGAAGGAACACAGCCGAATGTGTCCTTCCTGCAGGCAGGGTGACAGGAGAGAAGAGCAGGCTGACAATTCAGGTCCAGTTCCTGCTCCTAAAGGTACCCATTAGAAAATCTCTCCTGTCCTGGGGAGAGAGCCAGGATGGAATCCACCCCCAGCGTTTCTCCATCAGAGTTCCTCCCCGTACGAGGGGGGAGTGAGCCTTCACCAACATCAGACTCCTGCCGTTGGGGTTCTATGCTTCACTGTCTCTTTCTGGGATCTTGCATAGAGGGATTTTTCTGTCTAGGTGAAATTTTAAAGCGCAGTCTGATATAACCTCCTAATGAAATCTTAAGTATGCATTTAGTGGAGTTAGTAATTTGTGGAATGTCATAGGTTTAAAACTTAGTCCTTACAATTCCTGCTAGACATTAATGCTGCTTAAGGAGCCAGGTACATGTAGTAATTTTTGCTTGACTACTTATGTATTTATCTACTTTCCTTTTCCTCTTGCAGGATAATTGCTTTTAAAAATATCGAGTAGAAAAGCAGCAGCCCTTCAGGGAATATACTTAGAAACAGTGGAATTTAACCATAGAGTATATGAGTAACAGTTGTCTTTTACGTATAATTCAGACAAAAGCTTTATTGAAGAGCCAGGCCTAGTACTTACTATGCCCTGAAAGATGATTTAATTTTCAAAGTGTAGGAGGAGCCTAATTTCACATGTGCAAAAGAATTAGTCTTCTTGCCTGTCCGCCATGGCTCAGTGGTTGAGCACTGACCTGTGATCCAAGCAATTGGGGTTCGATTCCTGGTCGGGGCACATGCCCAGGTTGCGGGCTCCATCCCCAGTAGGGGGTGTGCAGGAGGCAGCTGATCAATGACTCATCATTGATGTTTCTCTCTCTTCCTCTCCCTTCCTCTCTCTGAAATCAATAAAGACATATTAAAAAAAATTAGTCCTCTTATTTATTTTTAAAATTTGTTGATTTTAGAGAGAGAGAAACATTGGTGTGTTGTTCCACTTATTCATTGGTTGCCTCTTGTATATGCCCTCCCCAGGGATTGAACCTGCAACCTTTGCGTATTGGGACAACACTCCAACCATCTGAGCCACCCGGCCACGGCTCATCCTCTAATTTAAAGGATTACCATGATAAGGGCCAGATTTGCACTGGTCACATCCATGGTAGCGTAGCTGCTGCTTTCCCTTGCTTTCTCCGAACTCCAGCTCCTCTCTCACTTTCCCTGTGCTTTGTAGTTACACATTTTTCCTGGAAGTAAATTTCCTCCTTAAATCATTAGTAAATTTATTCAGAATTGTATTCCATTTATAGCTGGACATCCAGTCCTGTCGTAGGGCAGACAGGGTTGGGAATATGTGGTTGGAATGTTTGGTTCTGTAGGGAGCCCCTTATGCTTGCTGAGACCCTGCTGCTGGTGTCCACCTGCAAACGGACTCAGTCACAGAAGGTCACGGGAAATGAGCCTTTATCCAAATACATCTTAGATGCACATGTTTGCCTTCATGTCATTTATTTCTGGTGAATTTGATCTGTAAGCACTCCTTCCTNGTCTTAGATGCACATGTTCCCTTCATGTCATTTATTTCTGGTGAATTTGATCTGTAAGCACTCCTTCCTGCTCTAGTGTAGGCTTTTCCAAAACGAAATATGTTTAAACATCCATGTGGTATGTGTTCTGCTTAACAGGCATTGAAGGTATATGATTACCTCTAAAGCGGACTTTGTTAGTGCGTATTAAGAACTTTGATGATAGCCCAGCTGGTGTGGCTCAGTGGTTGAGCGTCAACCTGGGAACCAGGAGGTCACGGTTCAGTTCCCAGTCAGGGCATGTGCCCAGGGTGTGGGCTCGATCCCCAGTTGGGGACGTGCAGGAGACAGCAGGTCAGTGACTCTGACTCTCTCTCATCATTGATGTTTCTCTCCCTCTCCCTTCCTCTCTCTGAAATCAATAAAACCATATTAAAAAAAAACAAAAACAAACTCTTACAATGGCCATGAAATACTCATGGACTTTTGTTTAGTGGGAGTTTGCACAGATCGTCCACATATACGAAAGTCTAAGTAGTCTGAGGTTCTTTTTAGACTCTCCAGCCTGTTCTTCCCCCACTCTACCTACTTGTGCCCTGTTTACCTTCGATTTTCCAGGCAGCTACTAAGCCTCTGCCAGATGAAAAGCGTTCTGGAATTGGTGGTGAGCCAAGGCAGATCCCTTTCAAGCTTTTATATCCAGATCAGGGGGATGGGCTCGTAATGTGCTCTTAAGTGTAGTAATAGCTTCATGGAAGGAGGTGGCCTTGAATGTGTAGGATTTTTGTTTGTTCATTAGTCTGGACCTTAGGGAATTTAATGGAGAGAACAGGGAAAGGACATTCCAGGAAGAAAAAAGAAAAGCATTGTGCTATCAGTGCTCATTCTACATGAACCTGAAAGAGCTATGTGCTCAGTCTCTCATTCGGAGTTAAAGGTGCCTCTCACAGGGTAGAACTGCGTGTTCCTTTTCAGTGCCTTCACGGAGCCCATGTGTGTTTCTGCTGTAGCACCTACCACACTCGATTGTAGTTTTTTAACCTTCTGACTCTCCCCCACTAAATTCTTTGAGGGCAGGAACTCCGTCTGCTACATCTCTGTCCCCAGCCCCTCAGTTCCTGCAACACACCTGACATCCTGAGATGTTTCCCAGTGAGTATCTGTAACAGTCCTGTCGCTTTGCAGACTGTGCGCCTTCTCCAGAGATGCTGCTGCTGTTGGAAACATGTGGGTCTCCTTGTTGGTGTTAGAAGGAGCACTAAGGAGACTGTTGAGAGGCCTGATCATGGCCTGGACAGGACCTCAGATTGGTTTCAGCTTCAGTTAGTAGGTCCAAAGCTCTGTTTTGTCCTTTGACCAGACTTGGTGATAACTGACGACTCTGAGGCCGTGTAGCACAGAGTTCTAGGCTTTGGGAACCAAGAGGCCTCAGTTATCCTGGCTCTGGTGTCTGCTGGGTTTCTCCTCTTGAAAAAAGAATAACAAATAGAGTGAGTGTGACAACTAACGGGACTGTATATATATATATGATGTACTGCCAATTCCACAGTAAGCACAAGTAGTAGCCATTGTGAGGTAGTTATTATAATGATAAAGCCTAGGAGATACTGATTTACAAACCAATGCCAAACCTGTTACTTCACAATATATGTGAAACTGTCGAGTAGGTGANGATGATAAAGCCTAGGAGATACCGATTTACAAACCAAATGCCAAACCTGTTACTTCACAATATATGTGAAACTGTCGAGTAGGTGAAGACGACTGTATCCACAACAACTTGACCTCAGAAAGGCTGCTTAGAGAATGAAGAGGAATGTTGACTTGTATTAATGGCTCCCACCACCAAGCCCCGATTGCCTGGTGTCTTCATCTTCCCCAAAAGGATTAAACTGTCACGTCAGGCAGAACTTGCTTGGGTTCCCTTTACCCTGGGCACCTAACAGGCTCTTCTTTGCGCTTGGGAAGCCAGATGGACTAATTGCTTCTTTCTACTTACTCCTCAAGTCTGGACAGCATCATTAAGTTTTTTTATAAAGTGGTTATTTTTATTTATTTTATATATATTTTAATCCTCATCTGAGGATTTTTTTTCCCATTGCTTTTTTCAGAGAGAGTGGGGGGGAGGGGGAGAAAGAGAAACTTCAATATGAGAGAGACACATCGATTGGTTGCCTTCCGCCCACGCCCAGACTGGGGCTGGGGATCAAGCCTGCAACCAAGATACGTGCCCTTGGCCGGAATTGAACCCGGGACCCTTCAGTCGCTGGCCGGTACTCTGGCCACTGAGCCAAACTGGCTAGGGCTATAAAGTTGTTTTTAAAACATATATACATTTTTATTGATTTTAGAGAGAGGAAGGGAGAGGGAAAGAGAGAAACATCAATGATGAGAGAAAGCCATTGACCAGCTGCCTCCTACACGCCCCTACTGGGGATCGAGCCCACAATCCCGGCATGTGCCCTGACCCAGAATCTAGCCAGTGCCTCTTGGTGCATAGATTGAGCTCAACCACTGAGCAGCAGTGGCTAAGCTGCGGTCCGCTTCTTGTGTGCCCTTCCCCCGTTACCCCGCTCCATGAGGAGCTGGCAGTAGGATGGGCAGACAAGTTAAATGCTGTGCCTGTGTAACAAGTGTAATAAGTGTAGTGAGAAAGGTAATTACAATGTATAAGGAAGGTAAATACTTTCAGTGAACAGTTTGATCCTATACCCAAACTACTCTCAGCTCCTTTCAGGGCACGGACTTGTACCATTAGTATTTGGTGCATAAACAAAAACTGGAATATTTTCAGAGTAAATGAACATTACTTTTCTCCTAAATTATATTTCCTACTTCATAATTTCCTCCAAATCCTCAGAATTGTGAAAAGCCTTTTTTATAGACTTTTGGAAAGTTATATAAGTGCATATATTTAGGATTTTACACTTTTAGATATTGACTTTTCCTTCTTTCTCTTTTTTTCCTTTTGAAGCTCCTTGCCCGGCTCGAAGGTAGACGGTCCTTGAAAGAAATAGAGCCCTGTCTGTTTGCCGATGAGGAGTCACCTGTGCATGGTAAAAACAGTCTCCAACCAAAACATAGTGTCATAGATTAAGCTTTGTAAAACAAGTGTCTTTTCATATATATTCACATACTCCTAGCAGGAGGCTCTGCGGGTTCAACTGTAAAATTAAAATGACACAGGTGATGACAGAACCCTTAAGCCTGCCTCATCCACATCAGGTGAGATGAAGTTTGGCTTATGTGCAATAAATGTTCAGAATAAGCTGACTGAAGGGTCTTTAGAAGTTTGAGAATCACAGGAAAGACTCAGGTATCCTGTTGTTATGTTAATATTTCCACAGGGGGGAAATACATACCTACTTCTTCCATTAGCACTGCTACCCTGGGGAAGACTTACAAGAAGTAGTGTGCTTAGGTGGTTGTTTTTTGTTTTTAATGTACTGTAATAATTTTATAGAGATGCAATGCAGTTCACCCATTTAAGTGTACAATTTCAGTGATTTTTAATATTCACACAGTTATGTAACCATCCCCACAATTGATTTTAAAACATATTCATCATCCCAAAGGAAACCCAGGCCTATTAGTAGTTACTCCCCATTTCTCCCCACATTCCTCAGTCCTAGGCAAGCGCTAATCTACTTTCTGACTCATCGATTAGCCTTTTCTGGACGTTCATATGATTGGAATCATACATTACATGTTCTTCTATGACTGGTTTCCTTCACTTTGCGTAATTTTTCAAGGCTCATCATATTGTAGCATCAACAGTTCGCTCCTTTTTATTGTTGAATAATATTCTATTGTATAGACATACCACGTTTTGTTTATCCATTCATAAGTTGATGGACATTTGGGTTGTTTCTACTTATTGGCTGTTATGAATAATGTTATGATTATTTTTGTACAAGTTTTTTCTATGGATATATGTTTTCAGTTCTCTAGGGTAATGCCTACGGGAGGGACTGCTACGTTGTATGGCAATTCCGTGTTGAACATTTTGTGGAACTGCCAGACTGTTTTTTCCAAAGCTGCACATTTTCCTTGCTATCAGCAGTGGAATGTCTGATGGTTCCAATTTCCCCACATCCTGCAAACAGATGTTATTGTCTGGCCTTTTTATTATAGCCTTCCTAGTGAGTGTGCAATGGTTCCTCATTGTGGTTTTCATTACATTTCCCTGATGGCTATGATGTTAAGCGTCTTTGCATGTGCTTATTGGCAATTTGTATATGTAATTTGGAGAAATGTCAGAGTTTTTCCCATTTTAAAAATTGTGTTTTCTTTTTATTATTGAGTCGTAAGAGTCCTTTACATATTCTAGAGACAAGTCTCTTAGCAAATATATATATATAAATATAATTTACCATTTTGTGGGTTGTCTTTTCACTGTCTTGATGGTGTCCATTGAAGCATGAAGTTATTAATTTGATGCAGTTTATCTGGGTTTTTTTGGTTCTTGTTTATGCTTTTGGTGTAGTTCAGAAGCCATTGTCTAATGCAAGGTCAAGAAGATTTACACCTTTCCTTGTTACTGATTTCTATTTTCATTGTTTTCTGATCAAAGAACACTTGTGATTTTATTATTTTTAAACTACTGAGACCTGGTTTAGGGCCAAGCACACAGTCTGTCTTAGAGAATGTTCCATGCGCACTTGGGAAGGTTGCGTGTTCTCCTGTAGTTGGGTGGAGGGGTTTGTTGATGCCTCTTAGTTCTGGTTGGTTTTTAGTGGTGTTTCTGTGCTGACCTGACTAGTTCTACCCATTATCAAAGCGGGTGTTCACGTCTTCAGCTGTCTTTGTCGAATTGCCTTACTTCTTTCTTTAGTCTGTCACTTTTGGCCTCATCATCTTTGAGGCTTCATGTGTTGTTGGGCAGTAATAAGTTTTTATTAAATCTTATTGATGGATTGACTCATTTATCTTTATAAAATGTCCTTCTCTGTCACCGCACACCCGTCAGGATGGCTGCTATCAAAAAACCAGATAATAACAAGTGTTGGTGAGGATGTGGAGAAATTGGAGCCCTTACTATTGACGGGATTGTGAAATGGTACAACCACCATGGAAAACAGCACGGAGGTTCCTTAACACAAGAAGGAGAGAACTACCATGTGATTCGACAATTCTGTTGCTGGGTACATACCTAAAAGAATTTACAGCAGGGTATTGAAGAGATATCTTCATGCCCATGTTCATAGCAGCACTATTCACAGTAGCTAAGAAATTGTAGCAACCCAAATGTTCAGCGGATGAATGGGTAAACAGAATGTGGTACATACGTACAGTGGAATATAATTCAGCCTGAAAAAGGAAGGAAATCCTGTCACATGCTGCACCCTGCATGGATGAACCTTGGGGACATGCTAAGTGAAATAAGCCAGTCACAAAAAGACAGATACTCACATGATTCCACTTATATGGGGTACCTAAAGTAGTCAAATCCGTAGAAACAGAAAGTAGAATAGCGGTTACCAAGGGCTAGGTCAGAGGTGGGGAAAGTGGGACTTGTTCAATGGATACAGACTTCCAGTTTTGCAAGGTGGAAAAACTCTGGAGATCTGTTTCACAACAATGTGACTGTACTTAACACTGCTGAACTGTGCACTGAAAAATGGTTAAGTCCGGCCAGAGTGGCTCAGTAGTTGAGAGCCGACCCATGAACCAGGAGGTTACGGTTCGAGTCCCAGTCAAGGCACATGCCTGGGTTGTGGGCTTGATCCCCGGGAGGGGGCGCGAGGGAGGCAGCCCATCAGTGACTCTCATCATCGTTGTTTCTATCTCTCTCTCCCTTCCTCTCTCTGAAATCAATTAAAAAAGATGGTTAAGATGGTAAATATTGTCATGTGTGTTTTATGACAGTAAAAAACAACGCCCTTCTTAGTCTCTAATAGCAATTTTTGTCTAAAAGCATATTTCATCTAATCCTACTGTAGCCACTTCAGCTTTCTTTGGTCACTGTTTGCATAGTATGTCTTTTTCTGTCCTTTGACTGTCAGCCTGTTTGTAATTTGGAGTGTGACGTGTGCCCGGTGTATATGGCCTGTGGTTGGATCATGATTTTTTATTCCATTCTGTCAAACTCTGCCTTTTGCTTGGACTGTTTAAACCGTTTATAGTTAGTGAATTTACCAGGAAGACAGGATTTCTGACCGCTGCTTTGCTGCCCGTTTTATATGCCTGGTGCTTTTTGTTTCTCTAGCCCTCCTTGACTGCCTTTTGTGTTTAATAGACATTTTCTAGTGTACCATTTTAATTCCCTGTCATTATTTTTATTTTTTAAGAAACTAATTTTTTCCATTAGTTGTCCCTGAGGACTACAATTAACATCTTAGTTTATAACAATTTATTGGATTAATACCATCTTAATTTCAGTATTTTATAAGAACTTTGTTACTGTAATCTCCATTCCCTGCCCCTTCATGCTGTTACAAATTACATATTTATGTACTGTATGTCCATAAACATTTAATATTATTAATACAATTGGAATTGCTTCTTAAATCAGATAGATGAGAAAAGTTACAAACATAAAACCCATTTCTGCTGTCTTTTCTATTTGCTGTGTTCTTTCTAAACTCAGTTGGATTCAGGTTACTGTCTACTGTACTTTCATTTGGCCTGATTGAATTATATTAATATTTAATATACTTATAATATTTGATATTTCTTGTAGGGCAGATCTGTTAGCAAGTAAAATTCTAAACTATCAGTAATAAGACACATTTTGATCAAACCTGTTGGGCAAAAGATTGAGCTGTCTCCTAGATTTCTCTCTGCCAGAGGGGATAAATTGAATCTCATGAAATTGACACTGAAACCTGGGTTTGCAGCTCAACTTATACATTTGAATATTACATTTATAGAAACCTTAAAAACAGCATTCTGTTCAGTCAGTAACACAGTTTACTCAAAACCTTCATAGATCTTACAGCTGTAACACTAGATGGATGAATACTCGTTGGAGCAGCAGCAGACGTAAGACCAGGATTATAAAGATTACTTATCAGCAACAGTAATTTATCAGGAATTGATATAGGGAAGCTCAGGTAGAAGCAGTAAGAGATTCAGGGGTTACAGGAGTCTGATGCTGTGGAAAACATAGTGTTAATGCTTTTTTGGATGGTAGTCACCTCTTCAGTACTATAATATATAATCTGCAAATTCAACATATTTGTTACACAATTAGTAGGTTGGTACCTAGAGGATGTATTTTTAGGCTGTTGTTTTCTTTCCCTTATTTTGAAGGATCTTTAGATTCACAAACTCACTCCGACAGCCTGTCACCCAAACCCCTTACAGCATTCTGTTTGTGAGAGTAGCTATCAAGGCCAAACCATCCAGATTTTCTGATTTAGTTTCATTTGTCAAGTGCCAAACTGTACAGGTGGTTTTTTGTTTTTTGTTTTTTACTACCCAGTCACACTCAGTACTTTCACTGGACAAGGGTGCTTTTTATTTATTTTATTTTTTTGTTTAATCCTTACCAGAGGATACTTTTTCCATTGCTTTTCAGAGAGAGTGGGGGGGCGGGGAGAGAAACATCCATGTGAGAGAAACACATCCATGGGCCGCCTCCCACCCCCCCCACCGCCCAACTGAAGGGCTGAGCCTGCAATGTAGATACATGCCCTTGGCCAGATTTGAACCTGGGACCCTTCAGTCCTTGGGCCAGTGCTCTAACCACTGAGGAAACTGGCCAGGGCAAGTACGCATTTTTTTGGTAACAGCTCACAGAAATGTATGGGCTGGTAACTTCAGATACACTTGAAAGGCCTCTAGGATGTAACATTTGAATATGACTTTTGATCTTATAATTAGATAGTAAATGTTTATAAAACAGTGAGACTGATTTTAGCTCATCTTTACACATTTATAGGTAACCTAGTTCAAGGACATTAATGATAATATTCATGTGTAATTTGCAAGTTTGCAGATTTTCCTTCCCTAGTTTTTATAAATGACTTTTCTGCCTGCTTTGCTATTAACCTGTGGAAGGAGGAGGTGGTTTTTATATACCTGGTCACCTCTTAGCCAAGGACTTAACTGTAAACTTTGCCTCAGTTTCACCTGTGCCGAACCAAGGAGCTGACGAACCCACCTACTGCATCAGCTGTTTTCTTAGCTGGTGTGTGGATTTGGAGAGCCTTCTTGCCAAGTGGTGCAAAGCTCGCTCGAAAACTTACTGTTTTGAGTTGTGCTGAAATTTGTTATGAGCACCGTCCCTCTCTCCAAGAAAACACTTGGCAGATTTCTCACTTTTTTTCTCTATTCCAAGAATTCCACAAATATCCAGATGTATCTCACAGTTCCCGTCTGACCAGTACGGTGCATTTTTATCTCCCTGTGGGGTCCCTTCCCATGTTCTCCAGAATATGTTACGTTTCTCTTCCCTGACGTTACCCTTGTTTCACTCTCCAGCCTCAGGAAACTGCCCGTGAATTCTTTCACTTGGTGGATGAGCGCAGGCCTTGGGATTATTTCTGTAACTGCTCCAGCGTTCCCCGCCTTCCTGCAGCCGGCTTCTCCTGCTGTTGCTCTACAGCGTGGACACTCCCGCGCGCCTGAAAGTCCGTCTTCTGAGTGTCTCAGTTTTTGACGTTTGGTTCATAAGATAATATTTATATTAAATGTGCTTTTGCAAACCACACATTTGCTGCCTTAAGGTCACTGTCCAGGGCCAGTTCCGTGATCTGTCCCCACCTGCCCTCCCATTTTCTCTTTTAGGACTTTCCTGCCGACGTTAGTACTTAGCACCGCTTCACTTTCCTGAGACCTTCAGGAAGGTCTCCTTTCCTCCTGGTTTTTCTGTGAAATTTCTGTTTCATCTGACTTCTCTCGCTGTAGCTGTATCCCAGGAATTGAGTTTTGGGCCCTTCATTCTTAAGTTTAAGTTCACGTTCACCCAGCAGGAGTTTCTGTTCTCTTTCCGTGTAGTTCTCTCCCAGACCTCTGTGTCCAGTCTCCTTACTCTCTTGTATCTGAAGTCCTAGCGGCTGTAGGACGTTTTTATTTTGTGGCTCCTGGAGATCCAGCTCTACACACCATTTGGAAGGTGAATTCACGTTAGGGTGTTTTCATGAATTATGTGAATTAAAAATCCCTATGTGCTATGTGTTTGATTTGTGTGGGTACTTCTGAGCCTGTGTCTGAGAACTTTTAGATCACCTGGGAATCAGTGAGGGGGCCGAGGGCCTGACAGAGCCTGAGTGTCAGCTCTTGTCGGACAGGGCGGCAGGCAGGGCTGGACTGGCACTGGGCACATTGCTCCTGTTCCTGCTTTGCCTGCTGTGTTGTCCCTCTTTCTCAGCCTTGGTCATGGGCACTCACACCTGCTGGGCTCTGCTAACTGCCCCCCCCCCCCAATAGCCCC